TTTTGGCCTTCCAGCCTTTTCGGCTGTCCGACGTTCCACGACGGCTCAATAGGCCCCCAAGAGCGCCCCAAGACGGCCCAAGAGGGCCCCAAGACGGCCCCAGAGTCGCCCAAGACAGCCCAACAGAGCCCCAAGACGGCCCCAAGATGCGCCCAAGAGGGGGACCACGACTCCAAAATTCGACCCTCCCGCTTGAAGAGTGCCCCAGGAGGCCCCAAGGAGCCCCCAAGAGGCCCCAGGAGGCCCCCAAGAGGCACCCAGGAGGCCCAAACGAGGCCTAAAGAGGCCACAAAGCAGCCCGAGGAGGCCCCACAACGGTCCCAAAACGGCTACCGAGAAGCTGCGAAACTGCCTTCACGACGTCCCCGACAGGCCAACCACGAGATCCAAAGCAACACCCATGAGGCCTCTGACCCACCACCCAGGGCACGGTGGCGGGAGCAGTGACAGCACTTGTGCACAGCATGTTCCGGCGGGAGCCTTCCGGAACACGCTGCAGGAGGAGGAAGATCAGGAGGAGAGAGAGAGAGTGGAGAGGAGGAGGAGGAGGGGGACGAGGAGGAGGAAGAGGCCTCCCAGACAGCTCCAAGATAGCCGAAGAGGCTTCCAAGAGGGCCCTGGGCGGCCCACGAGGGCCCCAAGGCGGTGCCTGAGGCGCCCAAGACGGCCCGAGAGGGCCCCAAGACGGCCCCAAAAGAGGCCCAAGAAGGGAAACATCGAGAATCCGAGCTTTCTACCCCGAGAGGTTCTCGGGAAGTCCCAGGAGGCCCCCAATCGGATCCAAGAGGCCCCCAAGAAGCTCCCAAGAGGGCCGACGAGGCTCCAAGAGATCTCCCAAGGTGGCCCCAAGAGGTACAACTCATTTTTTTACGATTGGGCTTTGACGTTTTTTTTCGGCCTTTTGGCATCCCGATGCTCCAAGACGGCCCCAAAGGCTTCCAATACCGCTCCCATTTCGAGGAAGAGGCCTCCAAGAGGGCCCCAAGACGGCCCGCGAGGGCCGAGGCGCCCAAGACGGCCCGAGAGGGCCCCAAGAGCCCCAAGAGAGGCGAGAACGGGAACGCGACCCAACAGCAGAGCGGTCCCCCCACAAGGCCCACAGGGGGCCGCAAGAGGCTCCCAAGTGGTCCGACGAGGACCCCAAAAGCTTCCCCGAGGGCCTAAAAGGCCACCAGGAGAAGTCCAAGAGGCTTTCAAATAGCCTAAGAGTACCCTCGATGCGTCCAAACTGCTTCCAGGAGGCCCCTGGGAGGCTTCCGGATTGCCTCAATCTGGCCGCAGGTGGCCTCAAGTCGGGCCTCCACGAAGCCAAGACGGCCAATGACGGCTTCAGATTGCAGAACCGATGCCCCCAAGGGACCCTCAGACGTCCCCCCAAGAGGCACCTAAGAGGTGCCTCCAACAGCCAGTTGACGAAGCATGCGGAACACCCCAGAAGATCCTCAGATGCCGTCGCGCGCCTGTGCTTGATAGCGTTGTCCAAGATCGTCCAGCGCCCCCCCGGCCTGGGCTAGAACCTGAGCGCGCGCGAAGCGCGCGCGATGGTTCTAGTGTATATATATATAGATATCTAGCTTCTACACAGCCGGGAGAAAAGTTAAGTTTTAACAAAATCAACAAGACGATCGTCTTGAATGATTTGCACACGGCAACGCCCAAAAAGGATCATTAGCTGACGTTCGCCTTTCAATGTTGGCAGCGTGCGCAGGCGTGCGCCATGGGCCAGGTCATTGATATGCCATGCTTTGGCTTGCGCGCCCGGTGGCGACAATGGGAGGCGGACGCCACTTAATGCCCGGGTGCTCTTCCAAACTGATTCTTCACAGGGCCGCTGGAGTGGGCGTTGCCACGTTCTGCCGTGCGACTTCGTTCCCACAGTCGGATGGCTAACGCGCACCGCGCAATGCAGACGAGACGTCCTTCCTTAACATTGCCAGGCCGATGTCGCTTCGTGCGACGGGCCCCGCCTGGTCTGATTTAGAATTGTTTTGGCATCCATCCTTGTGCCACTTTTGTTATATTTTTCACGGGGATGTAGTGCCGAGGCCCTTCCCTGCTGCCGTGCTCGGGGCCAGGTCTCCAGATCCGTTGGCTGCGCGCTCGCTCGCTCGCTCGCTCCACTTGCCTTACGTCGGGTCTGTCCCTCTACGGGAGGAATATCCAAAAATCGTGAAGAAATAGTATTGAGGGGACTTGTTTGATATTTTTTCGTAGCATTTTTGAAAATTTCCCATTGCGAAGGCCTTACGGCCTGTGCCGCTGACCCTGGAGGCCACGAATATGGAAACGCGGGGTGGTGGAGGAGGAGGAGGAGGTGGAGAGGGAGGAAGGGTGGAGGAGGCAGTTGAGAGAGCAGGCGGGGGAGAATGATGGGGAGGAGGAGGAGCATGAGGAGGAGGAAGAGGAGCAGGCACAGGAAGGGCACGAAGGGGGAGAGCAAGGGCGATATTTGGGTAGTCTTGGGGGCCTTTTGGCCTGTTTTGGCGCGTCGGGAAGTTGA